AACTACACAATCAGACAAGATATTAGGAGGGTTTTCAGCTACTCAGGGGTGGGATTCTCCCAGTTCGGATCTGTTCAGGTGAACCCCTAGCTCTGATGATCAGCTGGCAGTGAACTAGTTTGTTCTGACAATCATGTGGGCCTGCCTGCCCCTGTGCTGTACCTACCTGTATCCTCTCAGCTGATTTGCACGGCAGAGCGGATTGCCGCTCATCAGCTGTGTTACTCCCCAATAGTAACATAGCAGGTAAGTTTTTTCAGGAAACTGTGCGCATGAAAAGCACGCAATCACCAAACCGGATTTTACACCTGCAGCATCCCACCACTGCCTAAGCCAACTACTGTAGAGCTTTTAAGGTCAATAGCAAACCCTTAAACAGTCCCTTAAGAAATTGTTAACCAGTGCAAACTTGCTCTGATTAGTAGCCTGATCACAAGAGGTATCAATTCCTTGACATTTCTCTAGTGTATTGCAGCTGTCAAAATCCAGCATGAATTGGACTTTCAACGGTACACAATTTTGTACTGGGAAGACTGGGTTCTATGATTTGCTATGGGTCAGTTAAAAAATAAATGAAGATACTGGAAACATGGAGGCTGATTGCAAAGATAAACTATTGATGAAACAGAACTACGTGGATTTGTGGTTCTGGGCAGCTGACAGCATGGAGTTGAGAGTGGTGGGGTTGTACCTTCTTTTGGGCTTTGTATTTGAGCTTCCTGTTCCTGTGCAAGAACATGTCCTTTAATATTCTATTGGCTGTTGCCAGATTCCTGTGGGGTCATGTAGGGGTTATGGAAGGATCATAGCTGGCTCTATAGGCAAAAGAGGAAATGCAAATCCTAGGTGTTTGTCTGAGCTAAGTTTGAAGCTTGACTGCTCTGAGGGTGATGCAATGTCTGAAATACCCTTAGGAGATTGTGCAATGTAGTGAGCTCTGTGTCTTCTGCTAAATGGTAGTGGGTTAATCCTATTATGTCCTGAAAGGTCATGTCCTGTTCTTAATCCCATCACCCTGAAGCTGAAGGTCTTTTGTTTTTCAGATAGGTTGGCTCAGTGTTTCTTAGTGGACACAAAATATCTGCTGGGGGGTGGGGTGGGGGGCTATTAAGAAAGAATGAGTCTGCTTCATGCCTCTAAAAAATATGTTTCTCCATTTCTCATTTAGGAAAATATAATATTCTGCCTTTTTAAATATTTCTTAAAATATTTCATTCTTCTAGGAGGAGGGCTTCCCCAGAAGTGGGATTCAGAGGTGGGTTCTCACCAGTTGTTAACATTTTGCCTAATTCGGAGAACCGGCTAATCCCACCTCTAGCTGGCTTTGTCCCATCCCGCCCCAGCCCTCCCAGGAGTCCTCCCACATGCCCCATTTTGGCTTCCAGGGTGGTGCAGAAGGCCTTTCAGACTCAAAATGGGATATGGGGGGTATTGTGAGGACACCTCGTGCCCCATTTTGGCTGCCAGAGTGCTGCAGGAAAATAATTGGGAAAAAAATAATATTTGGGGAAGATAATAGTTGGAATATAGGCACAATCTGAAGAAAAAAAGTTTATTCAAAAAAGGAGTTGGCCAAAGAAAGTGCAGTCCAAATATAAGGTGCAGGGAGACACACTGTTACAGAAGAAAAGATGGCATAGGAATGAGAAAAGCAGTTAAAAAAACGAACTGTGGACTGGATAACAAACTCCAGTTGCAAGGAAAACCCACTTCCAGAGTCAATTTCTTAAGACAGTGAAATTGGGCATGATATAATTCTTTGCACTGGTAGGTTCAAAAGATGTCTGAGTTGGGAAATGTCGTCACCGAATTTTGTTTCATTGATGGCTACACAGACTCAACTTTAGGCAGCTTTGCATCCTCCTGCTGTGATTTTTGTTCAAGAAATCGTTCACCCACCACCACCCCGCATGCCATTTTGGCTAGAAAACAGAAAACAACAGGAGAAATGTTTCCCCTTTTATATTTGAGCATGCAAAAACGGGCAGGAAAGGAGCAAGGGAAAGAGGAAAGACAAAAAGAAGAAAAATGGGAAGGGAGCAAGAAAGAAAAAATAAGGAAAGAGGGGAAGAAAGAATGAAGAAGGAAGGGAAAAGAAGAAAAGGATGGATGGATGGATGGATGGATGGAAGGAAGGAAGGAAGGAAGGAAGGAAGGAAGGAAGGAAGGAAGGAAGGAAGGAGAGTATAATGAGAGTGAGGGGGAGTCTGAGGAAAGTCCTGTCTTAGCACGTGGTCACCACAGGTGTCCTGACAGGAGTCCCGTGTCATGCCCACCTTGGCCACGTCAACTATGGCCATCTCCCCATGTCCCCCCCATTCCTCTGAAGTCAAACCCAACCCTGATGTGACTCTTAATGAAATCGAGCTCAAGGGTGTGTTGGGAATGGAGATTTTGCATTAAGATTGCTCATAAGTAAGTAGGAATCAGAACGGGATGAAGCTCATCAAATGGCTCGTGTGATCTGCTGTCGTCGGGGTGGCGGGTGGGAATTGTGAGATGATATTTTTCCCCCAGATTTTGTTCTATTGTTTATTATTTTAAATATGGTTTTACATTCTGTAAGCCGCCTCGAGTCACCATGGGTGAATAGGCAGCAATATAAATTCAATCAATCATTCAATCAATCAATGAGGAATGGAAAAATTTCTACCTGTAGATCACCGTTTTCCAGTCTTGGCAAGTTTAAGATGGGTGAACTTCATGCTGCCTTCAGTGAGTTGAAGTCCATGCACCTTAAAGTTGCCAAAGTTGAAAAGCATGGTCTACACTAGAGCTTAGGATTTTCTATTCCTGTTTTATTTAGAGTTTGCTGCAATTAAATAAATCAGTTGGATTTCGTTAACAACTATATAGAACTATACAGAATTCTTTATTGGCCAAGTGTGACTGGAATTTGTCTTGGTGCATATGCTCTCAGTGTACAAACAGTGATTAAAGTGATATGAACCAATACAGGACTTTTTGTGAGAAACTGAAATTAAAAATTGATCTGGGCTTTGATGATTAAATAAAGGAGTATGGAAATAATGTAGATAAATTTTAATCTCAGAGTAAGAATTTGATGCATTGTTTTACTTATATCTGTAACAAAGTTGAAAGTCATTCTTTTTTGGTTTTCCTTCTTTTTCTCTTTCTTTCTTACAATTTCATTATTTTTCTTTCCTGAGCCTTTTCTTTTTTCAAATCTGTTTTTTGTTTATCCCTCATCTTTGTATTTTTTTGATGTATGAAGGATCAAAGACTCAGCCATTATAATTCTACATCCTTATTTACAGAAATCATATCAAACTTTAGAATGAAGTCCACTGGGAGCCATCTCATATCAGGCAGGCTCCGAATCCCTCTAACCAAAAAGTGTTTATCGATAAAAGAGAATATTTGTAGCTCAGGGTTGAACTGTGGGGTCCTTGGTGCTCTCTGAGCTTGATGGTTTTCTTGCAGATGTTTCATTACCAAACTAGATAACATCATCAGTACTAGAAGGGAGTGGTGTTTGCTCTTATTTTCATATAGTAATGCAGTGATAGTGAACCTTTTGGGCACTCAGTGTCCAAAGCATGTGTGCATACCCAAAATGTAAGCCGTGCCCGATATGCACCTGCACCTCCCATGCATGCGCCCATGCACCTTGTGCATGGCCGCGCCCTGTGCATGCGCCCATGCCCACAGTGCATGACAGAGACCCCAAGGCCAACTGGCCAGCAAGAGGCGTGCATGTGGAATGGAGCTGAGCTGGGACGACAGCACGCATGCCCACAGAGAGGACTCTGCGTGCCAACTGTGGCACGCATGCCATAGGTTCGCCACCACTGTACTAGTGGCTTACCCTGTCAGTTTTGATCAGCTGCTTCACAAAAAGTGTTTTGATTGGTGCCGAGTCTCTCGAACCTCAGGCAGAGAAGGTCTATTCTGCACCCCTTCCTCAAATGTTTTTTGAAATACGGAGTTTCCCAGCATTCCTTTAGGGACTTCCAACATGCAAACTGTGGTTACTCATCCTAAAACAAATCCTCTTTACCTGGAGCTTCAAAATTTGCTGTTTGCTGGGAATGTGTGTAGCTAAAAGTCAGTCTACATTTAGTGGACATCTGACTTTGGGGATATTTCTTCATAACCAAAGGAAAAGTGTATTTCTGTGCAGTTCACACTCCTTGCTCGCTACATCTGGATATCACAAAGCAAAGCCCGCATTTTGCAATTAAACTCACCCCCCCCCCCCCCCGTGCTGTACGCGGCTGAGTGCCGTCTCGCCGCCTGGCCACGCCCACCCAGCCGGTCGTTAGGGCGGAAAAGCGGTTATTAAATTATTTGAATCCCACCACTTCCCACAATTCATCAATAGGTTACAATGTGCGGCAGACAGGCATGTCATATTATCTGATAGGAATTTCAAGTGGGTCTTCTAATGTCAAAATTATAGATTAAAACAACTTATGACTGGGTTGAAAACGATTCCTCTTTTACCTTCCCCTTATGAAGGAATAAGTTTCATTAGGTCCGGTGGAATTGGCTTATTTGGAAACACTGTTTAAATATTGCTCTGGTGACTTCAGCAGTTTTTTTTTTAATCATTTTTTTTTAAACCAATGAGAATACAAGGTTCCAGAGCTCTGTTACATCACAGGAATTGATCGTCACGTTTGTAATGTTTTAACATGCTTAGCCTTATGCGTAGGGCGGCAGACTGCTGCTTCCCCCCGACTCGTGTGAAAAAAAGACTCCAGTAATGCGGAGAATTTCTGTCGTTTCGGAGAAGGATGTCCTACTTCCGAAATCTTCCGAATACTGTACAACCATCCCGCCTCCCCAAGGCTACAAAACTTGTCTCCCTTTCCCTTCTGAAGCGAGGTGGAGGGAGGGAGGGAGGGAGGGAAGCGAGACGCGAGAGGGACTGCGAAGAGGAAAAATCGGAGTGCGGCTATTAATAGCTTCGCCCTCCGATTGGCTTAAAGGGAGCTAGGGGGAAAAAAAAAAAGTGGTCTGTACCACGTGGGTTACTATGTGAAAATTCCAAGATGGCGCGTTCCGTCATGAGCTGACTCCGTTGGCGGCGCGCGCACCGTAGCGGTAGCGCCCGGGGGGCTGTTTCTGGTCCTCTTCCTCGTCGACGGCAACTTCCTCGGGGCTGGGGGTGCCGTTCATTCCTTTAGGCTTGTTTTCTTCTTCTGGTTTCAAAAAACCCAGGTCAGTATCTGGCGCAGAGGCTTCGTCGGAAGATCGCGGTTGTGATGATGCCAGGGATTGCCCAATCGTTATACGGGCACCCCCGTTTCCTTTTAAACCACGGGGAGAGGGTTGCCCGTGGAGGAAGGGGGTCTCCTCCTGCGCCTTTCTAGAGCTGGGAACGGATCCCGTCGGAGGCATCTGGGGAGGATTTGGAGACGGGGAAGGGGAACAGAAATATTCAGGGCCATTGGGGGGGGGGGGGGGTGATTGACGCTTTAGAGCACCAATCGGGGCCTCGTTCGAAGCCTGGCGGGTGGTTTTGAGCCATCGTCTGAGTCGTCCCCACGTTGGACCTCGGTTCCGTGGGAGCCGTTGAAGCCAAGGGTGGGGTTGGGCTTTTTTAGCAGCCCGTGGAAGGCGGGACTTAGAGCCTTGATCGACACTGATCCCATCTTGTCCCCCTCCCCTCCCTTTGCCGTGAGTGGCGGGTGCCGCCACCTCGGCTTTAAGGAAGCTGGTGGTTTAAGCGCCGTCTGTTTACATTTGTTGTTTTGTTTGTTTTTTTGTGAATGAAAGCGGGTGGATCCAAGAACCGCATCCGTCTAGCGGCTCTGAGAAACCCATTTCCCTCCTGCTTAACCGGGGCTGAATGAGTAACGGCTGGACGGGTGAGTGCGAGGTGGGAATAAGATGCAGCTAAGCATGGAAACGCCCCTTGGGGTGAGGCTGGGCGGTGTCCCTCCCAACAAGCCCGGCGGCGAAGGCGAAGCGGGGGGAAGTAAAGGCCGAGGCGCTAGGAAGGGACGTTTGTTTGGCCGGCCGGCTGGCTGGCCGGGAAGAGGTCTTCAGTTTTTCAGTCGCCAACTCACTCATAGGCCGTAAATCTCTGCCTCGCATCTTCTCGTAGAACGGAGGTTTTGGGGATTAGCCGTTTTCATTGAAATATACAGTATTGCCACACCTAGTAAGATTAAAAAGTGGTATTGCCAAGGAATGGAGAGGGACCACGATAAATCTACCGCAGTGAGGACAGCAGTTGCAAAGAAAAATGTGGACCTTTTTACACAGTAACAGACTTAGGATCGCATGAAATAGGTAGTGTTTGCTTTGCTGGGATGCACAGTGATAGAATTGGATATACTTGAGAGCATTTGCAGGCTATATAGTGGACTGGAAAGGTTGAAATCTCCCTGCATGGGAGATGGGGGCTCATTTGCCTAATCCTTGTGTTTTGCAAAAAAATTACTTGATTGAAAGAATGGGGGAGTTACATTTTTGGAGAAAAAGTGAGATTTTATATATGTGTGTGTACATGCACACACATGTATACACACACACACACACATGCATACACACACACATACATATATACACACACACACCTCCCCTATGAAGGTACTGTTTTTATAGTTGATAATCTGCTTATTGCACTACTTGCACTATTTTTCTATACTATGTGACAGACATCTACCAGATAAACACCTTGTTCATCTAAAACAGGGGGTCCCAACCTTTTCTATAGCTTGCACCCATAGAACGCTTCTGATATATTCTTTGCACTCCTTAAAAAATAATTATGCATATGCACTATAATTTTGAAATTTCTAAAACTCAAGTTTTTGCACCCCCTGGAATATTGTCTCACCCCCAGGGGGGTATGATCACCCCCCCCCCCCCCCGTTGGCAACCCCTTATCTAAAATGTAATCTGTTATTTGAAAGCATACTATAACAAGCTTCGGGTCATTCCATGTCAAGTGGTCTGATTTCAGAAAAGTGCCCTGCTCGAGCATCATGGATTTCAATGAAATTTTGTGTGAACATGCACACATGTCCCTAATGAACATTGGTTATGTTCGCCAATGCAATACTTGTGGAAATATAGTCATTTGTTTGACCCCAAACCGCAGCCTTCTACAGTATGACTGAGGTTTCACCAACTTTAAGGCATAATATCTCCAGCAATATTTTGTTGAGAGAAACAAAACTTGGCCATCTTGTACAATTTTTTGAGCTCTGTTAAACAAAATAATTAAAACATTCTCATGAGCAATCTCCATCTAGATAATGCAGAGCAAAGTTGGCCTGAAAATATAGCAGCTCAAAAAAAGGTTAGGCTTTTTATATCTCTGGAAAGAAAGGTATGATAAACGTGAAACTTTGCGCATAATAACTCAACAACACAAGGTTTTTGAATATAAAATTTCATTCTACTGCTTTCCAATAGTTTACCGATTGAGTATAAAGATGACATTTTGTAAAAACGCCGAAAATAAGGTATTTTCAGCCTGCTTTTACAAAATAATAACTTCTGGAAACTCTTAAATCATTCTTGTTAGAAAGAGCATGCTTCAGACCCCTTTAAAAAGTAGGGTTGTTTTTTCATCACTGACATATAAAGCCCTAAAAATAGGGACAAAGTTGACGTTGCTATGGCAATGTCACATGCATTCTATTATTGTTTTGCCTTGTTTGTTTTATATAGACATCATTACTACTATTACATTATGTTGGTCCATGGTGACATTGTTACCAGTTCAGGCACTTGAACCAGCAACCCCATCGCCATAGGGTGCACATCCGATAGCCGTGCAATTCCAGCCACGGATGGGTTTCTTGGTTCAGGATCCCAAGCCTGTAGTTTGGTTTCTTCCTTGAGGTTCCCAAGCCAATGATTTGGCAGTCCTGTTCCCAAGCCAATGATTGGTCAGCTTATCCTAGGTTCCCAAGCCTAAAGTGGTATCTCATATGGTTCCCAAGCCTCAGGCACACATTCCGTCTGTGTCTACACCATTCATAAAAATGTTAAGCTTATGCTACAAGGTGCCAACATTAAAGAGGACTATAAGCTGCTCTTGGGAAAGGCAATTTGCGATCTGAGCACCAAAGATTGTATGTTGCAGCAATGCCAAAACTACCCTGGTAAAGAGGGACTGATAGCGTATTTGGACGAAATATTCGAGAATTGGGATTCGGAAGAATCAGTAGAATTCAAACAATGGGTTCATACTGACCGTGAAATGCTGGAAACAAACGTTCTCACTGTTGATGGCTTTATCGAAAAACTTGCTAGCAAAATGTGGAAACTGACTGGCCACCACTTCGTTTCAAAACATCAAAGTGAATATGTGAAGTAGTTAAAAGCCGGCCTAAAAGAAATCGAACTGATTGTACTGATGGATTTTGTGGAGAATTGCTTGTTTGTTGTCCAAGATACTGGTCAAAGCTTTCACTGGGAGAATTCACACGCCACAGTGCATCCGTTTGTCACTTATTATGTTGATAAAGCATAAACTTAATATTTTGATGAATGGGGTAGATGCAGATGGAATGTGTGCCTGAGGCTTGGGAACCATATAAGATACCCACTTTAGGCTTGGGAACCTAGGATAAGCTGTCCAAATGTCAGCTTGGGAACCGGACAGATACCTACACAAGGCTTTGGAACCTCGAGTAAGAACCAAACTACAGGCTTGGGATCCTGAACCAAGAAACCTACCCATGGCTGGTATTGCACAGCCATCAGACATGCACCCTATGGCGATGGGGTTGCCGGTTCAAGTGGAAACAAAATATTGTGAGAGATATTATGTCTGAAATTAAGTTGCTGAAACTCCAGAGTCATACTGTAGAAGACTGTGGTATGGGGGTCAAATAAATAACTATATCTCCACAAGTATTGCATCAGCAAACGTAACACTTCACCAATGTTAATTGGGGATGTGTGCATGTTTACACACAATTTCATTGAAATTTGTGATGGTCGAGCAGGGCCTCCCCCAGACCCCTTGACCTGGAATGACCCCGTGTTTGACAGCTATTGCTAGGAGGTTATTTGCAACTTAACAGGACTCACATATAGATTTTAGTTATAGCGATATCTTTCAAGTTTCTTGCCCAGTATAGGTAGTCCTTGACTTACAACAGCACATTTAGTGACCGTTCAAAGTTACAAGAGCACTGAAAAAGTGACTTATTTTTCACATGACCATTGCAGTATCCCCATGGTCATGTAATCAAAATTCAGACTCAGGTATGATGGTTGGAGTGTCCTCAGGTCATGTGATCATCTTTTGCAACCTTCTGACAAGCAAAGTCAATGGGGAAGCCAGATTCACTTAAATGTATCACTAACTTAACAGCTGCAATGATTCACTTAACAACTTGCAAGAAAAGTCATGACATGGGGCAAAATTAATTTAGTAAATATCTCATTTAGCAACAGAAATTCTGGGCTCACTTGTTGTAAGTAGAGGAATACCTATATATCTCACTAGCTATATCTTTGATAGACTGAATCCTTCATGTACATAAAGTCCCATGTTCCGGCTGATATTTCTGAATGTGGAGGACCTTCAGTAAAATTACTGGAACTATCTCTTGGCCATAGATTTTGTTGTTTGTTACATAGCAGCGGGTAAGGTAAAATATTCTAATGTAATGTAAGACAATTTTGTATGTATTAGTATATCTCCATATATTCCCATGCTCTTTTTTTTCCTTTGACAAATGCTACTCTATGTGTTTGCATGTGGGAGTAACTGCATTCCTTCTGTTGTTTCTTGAATTGGTGCAAGAATTAGAAATGATACTTCATTTAAACCTATTGCTGATACAAATGGGTATATCTGTCCATAGGTATTATGCGTATGATTTTTTATGGAACACTGAGGTGCAAGCACGTTTAGCATTGAACATAAAAATGATGATAATATGTTTGATAATTGTAACATTTGCTAGTGATATTTCTGTATATGGTTCACTTTCCACTTCTCCCCCTCCCTAACATGACCCAAGGAATGACACATTCCTTCCCCCCCTCCCTATTTTCCACAGGGTACAGCAAAGCAAAGCAGATGAAACCCCAGGCAAAGAATACCCTCCAAGCCTCCCACCAGAATGGCAGTGTCCCAATAGAGAACTATGGGACCTGACAGTTTTTCTGTTTATAAGAGCTTCAGGTATGGGTGTGTCAAGTGAGAGTCTTGTGATGGGTCTTATGTGAATCATCAGTGAGAGTCTTGTAATGGGTCTTGAGATAGGGAGATTACATCAGGTCAGGGTCATTGGAAGGTGAACTGGTAGTGGGGAGTTGTGAGGGTTGATTGAGGGTCAGTGCTGTCTTTGGTTGGTGTATTGTTGATTTGGGTTCTGAGGGGTTTTGTAGCTGGTTGTTGGTCAATGTATCTGTTGGTAGAATTGCTTGTGGAGTGCCTGGCTTGAACTCAATGAGCATGGCAGGTGTTAGTGTGGCCAGTGATGTTTGTGTTGCTCCAATCAAACTGGTGATGTTTGCTGTCGATGTGGGTAGAGAGTAAGGATTTGGGATCATGGCCTTTGACAGCCAGTGTTTGTGGATCCTGATTTTTAATTGTCATATTTGTCCTACATAGAATTGGTTGCAATGGTTGCAGTTGATTTTGTAGGTTACACTGTTTCTTTCATCCTTCTGTATTTTTTCTTTGGTTCTGGATAATTCCTGGTGGAGTGTGGCTGTAGGTTTGTGGGCTATTGCTATTACTAGGAGTTGGAGACTTCTGGCACTGATGAGTCACACCTTACCCATCACAAGACTCTCACTTAACACACCCACCCTTCAGGACCTGAAGCCCTTATAAACAGAAGAACACTGACACATCCCCTAAACTCCATTGAAGATGTTACCTAGC